AAAAAAAAAACGATTCTGGTTTATGTCATGTTGAAAGCAAGGTTACACCATATGTTGTGCCCACCGAGAACCATTATGGTAATGCACCAGTCAGAGAGTGTATAATTGCTCAGCTCAGAAATGGCACTGAGTCACGGCACTGACACCAACAAATTTTCTGCAATTAGTGTTTGTTTCTTTTTTCTCTGCCAGGCCAATAATAATGATGATGATAACAGAGACTTTCTTTTGGGAATATAACCCACTATCTTTGGGATTAAAGATTTTTAAATACATTTTCACAAGGCTCTTTTTTATTTGACTGAAATTTAATTTTTTCTGCTTCATTCCAATTTCACCTCTTTCTAGGGCATTTCCTGCAGTTATCTCTCTCTCTTCTGAGACATTAGCAAAACATCAATTTTCTAGGCTGTTGTTTATATACCAGTTACCATTTTGGATAATCACTTGGACAGAGCTAAATCTGGGAACTTTAGCTTAATCCAAATGATACATCTCTTAGCATCTATGCTGGGTTGAATTTCTAATTAAACACAACAGGTATGGCTAAATTGTATTCTAAAGTTGGGGATAGAATTTGTAGAAGTCAACTTAGTTTTTGGAAGTACAGGCAGCATTTTGGAAGTGATGTATAGACAAGAGAGGCTACCCATACGGCCTGAATAAATCACCATTTATTTATTGTGCTTTCTTTCCATTTCAGTTCTTACTCTCCTCTGAACTCCAGACTACCACAAACAATTTCTTTCCTCATATTACCCCCTGAAAGTCCAACAGATATCTCAAGTTTACATTTCTCAAACCAGAAGCTGTTGATACATTGCAAAGTGCCCCTCCCTCAGACTTTCCATTTCCAGTACTGGTAATTTTATCTTTTCAGGTGCTCAGGGGACAACCACTGGATGTTCACTGTCTCTTTGCCTTGGTTCACGCTCTATATCCAAATTGTTGGCAAATCCCATTGAATCTAGGAGAAAAATATATATAAAAAATTAAAAATTCCTATCACTTTTTATCTCTTTGTTCACTGGTTTCAGTTACCTTCAGATACCCCCAGTTTATTTCAGTATTCTCACTTTTTCTCTCTACTTCTATTCTTGTTCTTTATGGCCAGAGTGGTTTTATTAAAATGTAAATTAAGTCACCCTAATGTTGTGCTGTCCAATGCCAAATCAAATGTGGATTTGGCTATTGAAATTGAAGTTAAAATTGATTAAAATGAAATAAAACCTAAAATTAAGTTCCTCAGTTACCCTAGTCACATTTTAAGTGCTCCACAGCCACAAAAATGAGTGGCTACCATATTGTACTGTGTAGACATAGACCATGTCTACATGTTCTGTTGGGCAGCACTATTTCCTGTCTGGTTAAGTGTGATCTGGTACCTCATCTGCTCCTCCCACCATTCATCCATTCTCATCTCTTTCTATTTCTTGCTTACTCAACTCCAATTGCACTGGCTTCCTGGTTAGCTCTTAACCACACTAGTCATGTATCTGCTTCAGGTCCTTTATAGTCACTGTTCTCTCCACCTGGAGTAATCTTCCCTCTCATGTCTACATGGTTTGCTGTTAGATCTTTGCTCTAACAAAGAAACTCTTTGTGACCACCCTAGATAAAACAGCAGTGCTTCAAACTTTTTGGTCCTCCTTATCCCTTACTCTGATTAATTTTAAATTTACTAACCATCAACTGAAATATATGCACTTATTTATTTAATCTCTCCCCCCTACTTTTGCCATGCTCCTCGAATTGAGCTCCACAAAGTCTGAACATATTATTTCTTTCACTTCTCTATTCCAAACATCTAGTATACTGGCTGACAGAAAGTCATAAAAGAAAAGAATAAAGGAAAGCATGAACTTTGTTCTGTTGCACAGGAACAAGTGGCTGGGACAAGCTGTGGAAAAAGTATGGATCCTGCCTACCCCGGGATGACCTCTGTCAGTATGTCACATCGTCTGATCTCACCCAGATGCTGGACAACCTAGGGATTAAGTATGAGTGTTATGACCTTTTGTCCACCATGGACATAACTGACTGTTTTATTGATGGTAATGAAAACGGAGACCTACTTTGGGATTTTTTGACAGAAACCTGCAACTTTAGCACAACGGCACCACCAGACCTCAAAGCAGAAATCATCAAGGATCTACAAGAGCCTGAATTTAGTGTTAAGAAAGAGGGGAAGGTACTTTTTAATAACAGTCTGAGTTTCGTGGTAGTTGAGGCATAATTATCAATCACAAGATTATATTCAAGTTATATTTTGAGCAATTGTTGGTCATTCATTTATTTCCATATTAAAATTACAAAAGCATCTCATAATATAGATAGATCATTCTCTCTGATAAATGAAATTTAGGAAATTTAAAGACATTCTTGGACTTCCATGCAGAAATATTTGGGGTACTTACGGTCTTATTCAGTCCTTGAGTTATCACATGCAGGCTAAACCCAGCTAAGCTGGAAAATGAGGTTTGAGTTTGATCTTCACAAGAAAATTACTGCCATTGCTCATCATATTAGACTTCTCAAGAATACTAACAAAATACCTACTATGGGTTCTTTAAATTCCAGTGAACTTGATACTTATTGATACTTTGACCACTAAGACAAATTTTTCTCTTCTTATAAAGAAGTATTTTTCTTTGCACATTCTCTATTGCTACTTTTATCTTATTTTTATTATTAAGATGTAAGCATTTTTAGAATATTATAAAATTAACTCTATTATATATTGTCATTTCTTCACATTTTGTTATCTCATGCAGTTTATCTCTAACTTAACAATATTGTGTTTGTCTCCCCTCCTCCCTGTTGGTACTGGAGTTTGAACTCAGGACCTCATACTTACTAGGCAGGCACTCTACCACTTGAGCCACTCTCTACCCCTCTCCCCACATTTAGCTTTAGTTATTTTGGAGATCTGGTCTTCTGTTTTTGCACCATATCCAGCTTAATTGATTGAGATGCGATCTTGCTAACTTTTTGTCCAGACTTGCTTTAAACTGTGATTCTGACCATCACCTCCTGAATGGCTGGGATTACAGGTGTAAGCCACCACACCTGGCTTATTTGTCTTTCTGCTATACAGAAATTTTGCTATTTTATCCAGTCCAATGTAGTTATTTTTCCTTTTAAAAAAATTTCTGTTTTTATGACACTCTTTAAAGAGTCTTCTAAAATGAAAGCTTAAAAGTACTAACCTTTTATAATAATTTTGTAATTTCATTTTTTTAAAAAATAAACTCAAATATCTTGAAAAGCAACTTTTGACATTTAGATTTCAAGAAAACCTTGAAATTATTTTAATATTTTATATGCTGTTATATCTTCTGAAATCAAGAGTCATATTTGCACAGTAGGATTTTGGGGGATTTTAAAAAACTTATTTGATGTTTCCTATTTTTAATAATAAACCCCTATCATTCTTATACAAGTAATATGTCTCTTTAGATAAGTAAATAACAATTAGTAACAATTGGTAACTTAATAATGGGTAAATAATTTTATAGTAAGCAAATACTGCTTCCTACCAGAAACACAATAAAAGTATGTTCTTACTGAACAGCTCATGGACCCTGATTCTTCCAGTGCAGAAGACCATCCCAGGACAATAACCAGTCTTTTCATTATAGCACTACCACTCCATGCTGTAGGATAGTCATTTTAAAGAGTGGATATGGATGCTCCTCCTTAGCCCACCCCCCTCACTCCCAGGGAGTATGCTGACATAAAGTCCATGTAAACTAACAAATTATGAAGCTTTGTCATTCATAATAAGTAAAACTGACTTCCATTGATCTTTTTCCTTGGACAACTTCATTGGTGTTTTTGTGAATTATAAATTCCAACAAATAAAATGACAGTTATCCAGTTGCAATCCTGAATATGAACGTTGAGCCATTAATCATTATGATGTGTACTACTGACAAAGGAAATCTTTGAGGCACACATGATTGATGGATGTGGGGCCATGATGACCTTGAACAACTTCACCAGAAGGATAGAAATCAAGACTGTAGAGCAAATTATGGCGTTTTGTTAAAAAGCACATGTACAGGAAGGAACAAAAATAGAACCAACATGACATTTAAAGACATTATTAAGAGGTAGTAATACACTTAATGTGTATTTTAAAATGTACATTATTTTTATGTCTGTTAGGTACTGTGACAATCTCACACAAGAATTTCACATATTCTCAGTGGCAAAAAGATCATTTTTTCACATTAGAAATAATAGAAGTATGAGTCCATGTCGGTCTTACTGCTATGTTCTATTACAAAAATCAGCCACTGAGTGATACACTACTTAAAAAGCACACATATATACATATGTTATATATACTGCATTTCTTTCATTGATTATAAAAACTTTTGGCATATTCACATCTGATTGTTTTAATAAACTATCAAAATCCATATTAACTCTATGGATCAGTATTTTTTGGTAGAGTGAAGCCAGGAGTTATAAAATAAAAGATCTGGGAAATTGTTATTTAAATCAATAAAGTCTTGTCTTAATAAAAGTTGAGTCACACAAAAAAATAAAAATAGAAAAAATAATAGACCGCAGATTGGTATTTATAAATGTGGTCTTTTTCCTATGACATCTCCTATAAAATACAAGGAGAAATAAATTATTTTCTGCTCCCATTTAATGTAATGGGAACACGTAAGTCTTCTTTAAGAGAACCGTTCCAAAGACTACCTACCACATGGTGGTAGAAAGCCATTTTGGTTTAAGGGATGAAACTATTGGCTTCTTCCTGCACTGTTGATATTATAGAGGATTTGGGGGCAGGCATATATTGACTTTACAAGTTTGTTCTTATGGTTCAGAAAAAAGTACACTGCAGAAATTTGAAATGTTTTATACATTGCTACACCCCCTCAGTATTTAACATGATGCCTTGCATGTGGTAGATGCTAAGGAGAAGATGGTGGATTTATTTTTCCCTTCTTTAGCATGTATCTTATGTATTTATTTTATTATTATAAAAATATCTCAATAAACCAAACAAAGGGCTTGGGGTGTAGATCAGTGGTAAAGCATTTAAATGGAATGGGCAAGGTACTGGTTTAAATGCCCAGCACTACACACACAAAAAATCTTCCAAAAACAAGCAACAACAGAAAAGAGAGGAAAAAAAGATGAAGAAGAAAAAGAAGAGGGGAGGGAGATAGAAAAGGAAGAAACCCAACAAAATTATGTATTGCCCCTAACATTAGTATAAACTGAAATTCATTTAGGGCTCTCTCTGACTTTTTGTTTTTCCTTCACTTGGGATTGAAACTAGAGCCTTGCATGTGTTAACTAAGGCAAGCACTCTCCTATATGAACTATTCTTCAACCTTCTCCCACGTTTTTTGCATTTGTTTATGAGTATTGCAAAACTCCAACGAGAAAGGATAATGTGGAACACAGTATTTTAGGACTTTGATATTTGCTTATTGTAAAAATTGTCAACTTTCTTAATTGACAGCTGTGCTACTCATTCTAAGTGAAAACAAGCTAAGTAGTGTCTAGTGCACATCCATATAATGTAGCCCAAAGGTCATAGAAAATATTAGATCTTAACTCTGTAAAACTGCAGCGATCCAAAAGCATATTTAATGTATTTCTAATGTTTATTTAATAAGATCAGCCATACCACTTCTGGACATATACCCAAAAGAATCAAAGTTAGCTTACTATAGAAGTCTCTGTATACTCATGTTCATTGCAACAGTACTCATTATAGCCAAATGATGGAATTAGCTTAGTTGCCCACCAATAAATGAATGGATAAAGAAAATATGGTGGATAAACAATGTAAATTTTTGTTCATAAAAAAATGAAATTATGTTATTTGCTGGAAAAATAAATTGAACTGGATATGATCATATTAAGAGAAATAAGCCACTACAACATACACACAAAAATTATCACATTTTCATGCATTTGTGGAAGCTAAGAAAACAAAAAGCAAAAAACAAGCTCATGAAAACAAAAAGGGGACTACTAGACAGAAGGGAGAGGAAAGAAAAAAATGGGGGAGTAAGAAAATAATAGAGAGGTTGAATATAATCAAAGTACATTATATGCATGTATGGAAATGCCATAGTGAAACTTCTTACTTTGTATAATTTATATGCACTAATTTACACATCATATTTTGTCATTTGAAAGGCAGATATATGTATGGTTAAGTCATCAGAAAATTATTTCTAAGAAAAATGGGACTTCCATGGTGGAATGAGTATATAAAAATAGCTTGGTTGGATGGTTTTGTAGCACCAAATTCCTGAGTTCAAATCCTCATTGTGTTAATTACTCACTATGTGACTTCAAGCAACTGATATTCCCTCTATTCTCACATTTCTTCACATGCAGAATGAAGACAGTCATGATGTAGACATCATTCCTCAGGAGGTAGATGGTTCTGAGGATTCCAGAAGTTAAGCTATGTAAATATATTCATAAAGAGCCAGACTCAGAAGGAATACTCAAAACCATTAACTATAATTATTAGTTGCTGATAGAAATTTAATATAAAATGCCTACAAAATAAAATAATAATTTTGAATAAAAATATCACTGTGAACAGAGAGCTAGGTTCTGGAGGAGCCAGCTTAGTTTGCAACCTTGAGATACTTAACCAGTGGCCTCTTTATTCTAACAAAACTATGATGACACTTTAAGGAACCCATGGCATTATTAAGGAAGGGATATTTGAGGTCTACCTTAAGGGAACTGCCTCCCTTGACCCCTTATGGAATAACTGTCTGTGTTCTGTGCTATGTGCCTCATCTCAATCTTGTGGATTAGACCAAGGGGTGGATAGCTGATACATGGACAACCAACTAACAGGTAAGCCAGAAATTGATTAGAGTATTCTATTTTTCAAAACATGAAATGGACCCATTGAGCTCTCCTCTAAGGAATTTGGAATTATAAATCCTGTCCAACTGGGCTCATTTATCAAATGATTTACTCATTTATGAAATATACATTCTTCAATATCTATTAAGTGCCTCTTAGATGTGATTCATTCTAAGCAAGGTAGGTATTGCTATCAAAGAAAATAAATAAAATTCCTGACCGCATTGGCCTGATTTCTAGTGAGTGAAATGGATAATAAAATAAATTTATGTTAAATACTAATAGGAAATTTTATTATTTACTTTTCTGATTGTTGTGAAAAAACACCTACCTGACATAAAAAAATTAAAGGAAGAATTACCTTGGCCCAGATAATTCTTATGCTATGCATAACTTGGTGGGGTTGTGACATGGAGGAGGTTTTCACCTCACCACAAACCGGAAGCAGAGAAAAGGGAGGGAACTGGGGACCTGGTATAACCTTCAAAATCATGCCTTCAGTGACCTACTTCCTCCAACTAAGTCCCACTTCCTGAAGCTTCCACAGTCTCTCAAAATAGTGCTACCAGCTGGGGAAAAAGCTTTCAAAACATGAGTCTATGGGGGGCGTTTCACACTCACAATCAAACCATAACATTTTCCTCTGACCCCCAAAGGCTTCTGGCCAACTCATAATGAAAAATAAATTTAGTGCCTCTCCAAAAGTAAC